TCGCTGTATAACACTGGGGTACCGTACTGGTGGGGACAGGTCTGTCAATAGATAATGCTGTGGTATTGTACTTGTGGTGATAGGTCTGTCAATAGATAATGCTGTGGTATTGTACTTGTGGTGATAGGTCTCCTGCTGCACAATATTGCAGCACAGTGCTAGTGTGTATTATTTGTGTACAGTGATGATTGGGACAAGTGTTTTTCTCTTTCAGAGTGGGGTACAGTACCTCTGCCAGTCACATTTTTTAACACATAATTAGTTTGGGAATGGCTCACTGTTTCACTGTCTGACACTGGGTTGCCGCACTTTAAATGTGTCAGCGTCTGTTTAGTGGGGCAAATCATCCTGTTCCGTGTAGGCCTGATAATGTTACCAATGATCTTTGCATTGGTAATTATTGATCCTGACTGTATTACATTGGGTTTGACACTGCTGGATGCAGATCCGTGCTTGGTTAAAACAAATGTATACTGTTGGTGGTGACTCTTGTGTCTCTGAATAAAACTGGCCCTGTGTTCTACTGGTGTAGGTCTGTCACTGTTTCGTGCTGGAATTTAGTCCCCACTGGGGCAGTTTGAGTCCAGTATAATACTGTTGTCCATGATTTGGTGTTTCACGTCTGCCATTGAGTACTACTGGTGTTCTTTACTCCTAGGATTGGTCTCTAATTGTATAACAGGTGGTTACAGTACTGCTGGGGACCCCTCTGTAACTGTGTAATACTGAGTATTGTACTGGTAGAAACAGTCTGCTGCTATACAACACCAGGGTAAAGTAGTGTTTGGGACAGGTCTGAAGGGAGGACTTTTTTTGCTATGTCACACTGGGTTACGTTCAGATTGCGAAATGTCTGCAACTGTTTTACATTTGTGGTGAGGATAGATCTGTCACTGTATAGCACTGTGGTACGGTACGGGTTGGGACATGTGTTGTCAATATATAATCACATGTAAAGTAATGGTGGGGACAGGTTTGTTGCTGTGTAATGCTTGGGTATTGTGCTTATGGATAAGTCCTTTTGTTCTCTTCTGCTAAATCTTTTTCATCCCTCAGTTCTGTGATACCTGACCTGCCATTTCATCCAGTCTTCATTTGAGGATCTTCGTTGTGTTATCAAACCCCTCCGACGTCCTGCCAGCCCTATCTATCCACCTTCCTCTGATCGTCCAAGTTTTGCAGAACACCATGTCGTTCAGCCTCAACGTTAGTTGCCATGCTTTTAGCTCTTGATGCTCTCAGTCCTGGATTTCTCTCCTGCAATCTGTTTATCTGTCACTTCACTGCTTAAACCCTGTTTGACAAAGCCTTTGTGGCTCATTGTCATATGTTGCTGCTAATCACTTTTGTGAAGCATGCAAGGTGCTAAATAAATGCATGTTGTTTCTTGTAGAATGATTGGAGTTATGAATATGGGTGACAAATTTTCTGAATCTGACTGGAAAATAGAAGTTATGGGACTGTTAAAACAGTCAGAAGCACTAGAGCAGTGTTTGATATTTGAAGATCAAGTGGGGTTATGTGGTGTACACTTTAGCTTCACAAGCTTGTTACTTTTAGGAGCAAGGAGGTCAATGCTTTGAGACAGAGTGGCACCGGGAGTCTTTTGAGTTAAGGAAACTGTTTGACGATAGCCTTCAGATTGGTTCAGCAGCAGTTTGTTGAAGACCTCTGCGAGTGCAGTGCGCTGAAAGATTTCCAGAGGCCTGCAAACAAGAAGCATCTCTCACCAGCTCTCTCTGTGAAAAAAAGGACAAAACCTGAAGACTCTGCAAAGAAATATTTTTACTACCGGGAAAAGAATAGGTCCACCCTGTCAGCTAACGAATCAAACCAACACTCTGTGGACAACAACTAGTCACTGTCTCTTAAACAAAAAGTAACTGGTTATCTGATTAGTGACCCACCTTTCACGTACCTCCCTCTAAAGTATGTTTCTTGTCTTCATTGTTTCAGGTGTAGTCAGCATGGGTTTGTTGAGCAGGTCTGGCAGCAACTGCGGAGAGAGTTTGAGGTCAAATTTTCAGTCAGCTGGACAGAACAGTGGGCTTGGAGTCCAGTCTAGAAATATGTCCAAGATTCCTGAAGATGTCTATACAGTTAGGATGTGGTGATTAAGGAGACATTCAGATACTTTTTTTTATTGACTGAGGCGCAGAAATTTTACCAGAACTGTATAATACACCAGTTTGACCAAGGCTTACAGTTCTTGTCACTACTGTGCAGGAAGGATGTGATCACAGTTGGGAGATACAAATGGGATGTAGAAGGATGTCCCCAAGATTGACAAATTTAAGCTGTGAGGAAAGATTGAACAGACTAGGTTTGTCTTCCTGGACACAGAGGAGGCTAAGGGAAGATTTAATTATGGTGGATAAAATTGCAAGGGGCCAACAAAAAGTGGAGAGGGCAGAAACTAGAGGCATTAGAACTATAGAAAGCCAGTTTAGCCCCCCAAGTAAATGCTTTCATGGCTGAAGGGCCTGTTTCTGTATGATTCTATGGCTGATCTGTGTTCCATTTACCTGCCTTAGCCCCAGAACCCATAATACTTCAGGTTAACGCAAATCTATCAATCTTTAATTTAGAATTCACAGTGGATCTAATGTCAGTTGCCATTTGCAGAAGCAATTTCCAATCTTTTCTACCCGTTGTGCATAGAAACACTTCCTAATTGTGTTCCTGAAAGCTCTGGCTCAATCTTTTTTCATTACATAATCTATTCTCTTTCTGTCCCTGCCCCCCAAACTGAAATAGTTTCTCTCTACATATTCCATCCTGTCCCCTTTAATATCTTGAAAACTTTGGTCAAATCACTCCATAACCTTCTAAACTCTGGAAAATGCAGTTTGTTGTAATCACTGCTTAGGTTTCTGGTAATTCTAACGATACTGGGGACATTGGTGAGATGCGACCGAGGAGGATTCTGGGAGAAGTCAGTTCAGTCACCATGACTGTGAAGGGGATGACGGGCATAGGCTTGGCTGCTCAGGAACCATGTTTGCAGACTGGGTGTGTAGTGTTTGGAAAGAGATGAGAGTATGTACTTTTTATAGTTGTAGTCTGCTAGGAATAGAGAGCAGGAGTGAGAGACCTGAGTTTGGTGACTAGTTGTGTAATCAGTTCCTGGATTGTTGCCTGTAGTTGATAAGGTTCGAAATGGCAGGAGAACTTGGCCCGGTGGAATGCTCCTCCTGCAAAATGTGGGAAATCAGGGGCTCTTTCAGTGTCCAGGCTGACTCTGTATGCAGGAAGTGTGTTCAGCTGCAGTTCCTAATTTGCCAAATGGAGGGCCTGGAGCTGCGGGTGGTCTCAGTTATGTAGCATCTCTGAGGCTGAGAATATTGTCGATTACATGTTTAGTGAGCTGGTCACACCATCAGTAAGGGCCACACAGGCAGAGAAGAGTTGGGTGACCACCAGGAAGGTGAGTAAGCATGAGCAGGCAGTGCAGGAGACCCCTGTGGCCATTCCCTCCTCAAACAGTTGGTTACTATTGGTGGTTGTGGCTCGTGGGGGTGGGAAAACAGCAGTAGCAGCCAGATCGGTGGTATCATGACTGGCACTGTTGTACAGCAGACAGGATCAAAGTGTAGGCGAGCAGAAGTGATAGAGGATTCTATAGTCAGGGGCACAGGTGTTTCTGTGGCTGTGAGCAAGACACCAGGATGGTCTGTTGCCTCCCTGATGCCCCTGAGTGGGCACAGGATATTCAGAAGGGGGTGGGTGAACAGCCAGAGGTTGTGGTCCATATTGGTACCAACAACCTTGGCATGAGGTCCTGTAAAGGGAGTTCAGGGAGTTAGGTAGAAAGTTGAAAAGCAGGATCTCTGTGGTTGTAATTTTGGGATTACTTCCTGTGCTAAGTTCCAGTGAGAGTAGGAATGAGAAGATCCTACAGTTAAATACGTGGCTAAAGAGCTGGTGTAAGAGGGAGAGCTTCAGGTATGTGGCTCATTAGGATGTCTTCCAGGGCAGGTGGGACCTGTACAGGATTATGGAAAATCCCAAGGTCTTTTATATGTGTATAAGCCAGAGGGTAGCTAGGGAAAGGATTGTTCCACTCAAGGACAAAGGAGGGAATTTATGCATGGAGCCAGAGGAAGTGAGCAAGTTCCTTAATGAATACTTTGGATTGGTTTTCACAAAAGAGAAGTACATGGTGTATGGTGAATCTCGAGAGAGGTATGTTGATATTCTAGGACAGACCAATGTGAAAAAGGAGATGGTGTTGGGTGTTTTGAAAAGCATTAAGGTAGACAAGTCCCCAGGACCTGATGGGATCTATCCCAGAGAAGCAGGTGATAAAATTGCTGGGACCTTGTTTGAAATTTTTGTATCCTCTTTGGTCACAGGAGACTTCTGAGAGGACTGGAGAATAGTCAGTGTTGTTCCTCTGTTTAAAAAGGGCAACAGGGACAATCTGGGAAATTACAGGCAAGACAATAGCGATTTACCTTTTAAAGGCCAGAGTTCTGTTCTATTTGATTATTTTCTATACCTATTAATGATATTTTGATAATT